ACTTTGTAAATTTGTCTGAAATTCCAGCCAAATTTTCAAAGTCGATATTTTGACCCCAAATTTTGGCAAAATGTTTCCTATAGTTTTCTCCAGTTTTCCCCCAAAGTTTCAGCCAGATTGGAACACTCTCCGAGTTTTCGTGGAGTTTTTTTCCTTTTTTGCCGACTCCCTGAATAAACCCATTACCCTGATTTTCGTCCAGTTTTCGGTTACCCAAAAAATCGGAAAAAAATTGACTGAAAATGCACAAAAATTAACAAATCAGGAAAGCATCTTTTTTTAGGTTACTGTAGTTTTTTGTACCAGCAAAAAAAGGAAAAATAGTCTATCGTAGATTCCTAGGTTGTTTCTAAACATCGAAGAAATGGTTTCATCCGAATTTCAATGAAAGAAGAAGTCGTTAAAATGTCACATTTGGGATTTGGAAACTAAATTGGTTTTAGCCGAATTCAGATTTCTAATTAGAACGAGGACCGAAACATTATGACCTAGTTATCTGAGTAGTTGAAAAAAGAGAGCAAAACCTTTTGGAAGTGAAATGAAATTGATTGTTTTTGTTTCAGGCGATTCCTAAAACCAGTATTTTTTCAACCGAACCTATCTATGGAAAGAATCTAAAAAATCTAAAAATCGTACAACAACTATACCACTATACCAGAATAACTAATAGTAACATTCGAGGAAAAGAAGAGGAAAAACGGATGAGAAAAAAGAGATAGGTACAGGAGAAGAGAAAAGAGAGTTAGACGGTAATAAAATTATGCGCCCGAAAACTGTTCTTCTTCTTCTTTTGTCACCGTCTTTGGCATTGTCGTTGGGCACTTTGAATAATTTTATTTATAACCTCAAACAAGGTCACGAAACACTTTACACTGCTGTTAACGACTTTGAAATCGAGCTGATGAGAAGGCACGTAACAAGACCTATTCTATATATCTCTTCTTGTCAAATGGAGAATGTAAACTTATGTTTGACATTTGAGCAAATAAAACTTCTTGAGATTTCGCTCAAGAGATACAACATCGAAAATGTGACCGTATTTTTTAAAATAAAACTTGAACGTTGCCGTCTTTCTGAATAGAGGAAAAAAATCGTAAAAAACTAAAGCAAACAGTCATTTTTGTTTCATGCGCAAAGTGTCAAATTGTATTATTTTTTCCGTACGGAAATGCCTGATATATGCGGAAACTAGGGAAGAAAAAATATCATTTGTGCGCATGAATATATTTGAAAGAAGAAGCAAGAACTCCGAGAGAGCACATGAAGTCGAAGAGACGCAGATAGATGAAGAGAACGATTCGAATATGTACAGCCGGCAGGTGGTTTCTGAAAGGGAAAAGAAGGGGGGCACGGAGAGATGAGGATGCGGCCATTGAGAGCACCAGATGTTGGTTGGCACACAATGGTTATTCATCGGGACAAGTGACCCGTTAATTCATGTTACCAGAAAGAGAGGCACGTGTTTCTTAGGACTTTGGAATCTTCTAAATTGAGACAAACGCTTAGGCAGTGAAAGTTGTTCCTAAATGGCAACTAGGAGTACTGTTTGGTAACAGAATGTAAATGAAGACGAGGAGAAGGAGAAGAAAACATCAACGAAGTAGGAAAAAGGGAAAATGAATGAAGACATCTCCCGCTGGGAAAATGTCGGTGACTTTTGGCGGATTGAGAAAACGGAACGAGTGGAATTGGAGAAAAGAAAACACAGAGAAGAACGATGAGATAATAGGCAATTCTCATGAGTCAGATGGATTCTTAAATCAAATGAAAATTAAGACTGTTGATGTGAATAAGAAGAAACATTCCCATCCATGATATCAGAACTTTCAGACCATATTCTGAGCTATCGGAATGTTCGGAGCGAAAGTAGAAAAGGGGATGTTCGGAACGGAATTCCGAAATTTTCGAAAATGCGGAGCATTTTCTGAATGAAATTCTGAAGAATAAGTTTGGAATGAAGTTCCGGTCGGAATATTTCCGAAACACTTCTTTTCGAATGAAATCCCGACCGGGAATATTCATTTCAGAAGTTTTTTCTTTCATTTCCGTAGTTTTTTTTTCAGAATCAGAGCTTATCAGACTACTGTATATCAAAGGCGCACGCGAAAAGTTTTCTTATGGGTTCCGAGCGGAATTACATTTACTGTTTTTGCGTGTTTGACATTTATTTGTCGATTTTTCGAGCTTTTGTGAGGGGAAAGTGAGATTCCGAAATCTCGAAATTCTGAAATCTTAAAATCGGAATATTTATTCCGAAATTCCGAAAATTCGAAGCTCAGAAATTTTTGAATTCGGACCGCGAAAGAACGTCGCCTGCTAATAAGAAAAATTGAGCAGTTTTTTTAAATGTATCAATAATGTTTAAACATTTTTTGAGCCCAAAATAAGGATGTGAGAACTGAACTCAGACTCGATCGTATAGAATACGTTCTTTTAAAACTCATGTCCTCCAGATTCGCACCACCTCCTCCCTTTTCTGGTTATTGCAAGTTCTCTCATCGAAAATTTATGAAAAAAAAACGATGAAAAAAAAACGCCAATCTCACTAATCAAAAAGACCTAGAACACAAATGTTTTCTTTTCTTCCTCTCATTTACCCGAAACTGGACACTGACACCGATACACACCACTTCACAGAGAAAAAAGTTCATAAATTGATAAGAAATCGGATTGCAGAAGACGTCGCGGTGATTTTAAGTTTCCTTTGAAGTGTGCCGACAATCTGTGACAACTTTCGGTAGAAAATTTCAATTAGTGAAAAAGAAAAAATTGAAAAGCCCGCACTAATGCGACGAAAATGCCTCGGGGGACTCCAGAATTCTCCTCGGGGACTAGAAAACCACATGCGGGAAAATTTGTTTCAAACTTTTTTTTCGAACTATTCTGACTGCGTTTTTCGTGTTTCTGCTGTTTTTTTTCTAACTTTCTGCTTAAAACAACAGAATTTGTTCTATACCCTCAATAAAGTAAACAAAAACGAATTTCGTTTCAGATGAGTGGCACATCGGGGGAACAAGGGCAATTTTTCTCAATGGAAATCGCCAATAAGGCGCTGGTCGATGGTAATTTCGAGGAAGCGCTGAAACACTTCTTCGTCTGTATTAAGATGTTGCCAGTCGAACGGCGTGGGCGATATGAAGATCAGTTCGCAGCAGCAATACACGGTACTCTGTTTTTTAGTCCTTCTCAACCATCCAAATAATTTCAGGTTGGATTACTCAATCTTCGGAGCATGCCGCTCGCGCAGTCAATCTTTATCCACAAATTCGCGACTTGTTTCCAGAAACAGTACGAACGAAAATAGCTATAGTGAAAGCTGTTCAAATTTCGGGACAAGGAAAATGGTTGTTAAACTGTCTGCCAATTGTAAAAGAAGCGATGGCTTTGACCACAAACCCCGAAGACAGAGCTATTTTGAGAATCGCAAGAGTTAATTTGACAACTGTTCCGTTCCCACAATGGCACATTCGGATGGTCAATGATACAGTAAGAATAGATGACGTGGTATTAAAAACATTTGATACTTCAGATGCGGAACGAATTTTTCCTCCAAGCATTGACTGCCAGTATCAAAAGTAAAAGTTCCGTGGTATTCGATATTGGTTCAGGAACAGGACTTTTATCGGTTATGGCTGCTAGGCAAGTATTTTATGAAACGAAATGAATGCTTCAACTGATATTTTAAGAATGTCCAACCTAGTTATTGCATTGGAAGAAGATGTTTGTCTGGCGATGATTTCCAAAGAGGTTTTGAAGCGAAACAAAGTTGCAGACCGTGTTACTGTACATGCTAAAAACTCAATGCAGTTCGAAACAAGCCAAAACGCTGACGTGATTGTGTCGGAAACAATGGATTGTTGTTGTTTTGGCGAACGGATAATTGAAACTTTCCTCGACGCTCATGTCCGGTTTGCTCATGAAAATACCATCTTCATTCCTCAAAAAGCAACTGTTTATGTTCGACTCTTCCAGTGCCGTGAAATTTTCGATATTCATTGTCAAGACTATAGCGGAATCAGATACCGTTCGGAGTATGTCAAAATCAATGATGAACCCACGGAACAACCGTACTGGTGCGCTGCCAGAGAGGATTACGCCGAGTTTGAATTCCTTTCTCCACCGGAAGAACTTCATACGGCAGACTTTTCAAGGCTAGACGTGCTGCAGAAATCGCTGAGATGTGAGGGATCGACGAAACTGAAACCAAAGAAGAAAGGGGTCGCGCACGGATTCACTATTCATTTTGTGTGAGTATTTTGCTTCCAAACACTGTTCTATCTAATTTTTTTTGAAGAGCCGACTTGACGGGAACTGGAGTTTTGGTAGACTCAGGCGACTGTCATGCTTGGGATTATGGTGTCGTTCCGTTCAAAGAGCCTTGTGTGGTGGATGTTGGCCAAGAATTGGATGTTTCTTGGAAACTAGTAAATAACCGGCTGGACGTATACAATAATTTCGTGAGTATATTGATGAGCTTCAAAGTATAACTGGATTTTTGTTTCAGTATTCTGAAAAGTTGCAAAAGGCCGGTTCGTTAATCCAATATCAAACAATCAGTATGGATAGGCTCCACAAGATTCGTGACGATAGTTATTTCAAGCAAATGATGGCTGAAATCACAATCAATGAGCTTCCATTTACAGAAGATATTTCCTTCTGTGTTCCAGCAGAGTGCGTGTTGAAGACATACCCGAACAAGGAGCCAACAGGGACTATTATTGGTAAGCCCAATAATTTTTCTAAAATTCCTTCTCATATCTATTCGTTTTCAGCCGGATTCATCCGTCACGATGGATCTCTGAATCAGGATAACATGTTCCGCATCGAACAGTGCGTCGGTCATCGTGACTTCGTCAAGAAAATCGTTCCTTCTCAAGTACGCATCTATGGTCACCTATTCTATTCGGACTATATTCACTTCGACGCACGTCCTGATCCAACTGCACATTGTAAAGTTGATTTAGCAACAGTTCGAAATTTCAATCTGAGAGAGATGCGTGATATCAGATTGACCCAGAGAAATGACATTGTTTTGGCATCAGAGGAATTCGAAATGATTTTCTTCGACAACGATCCAAATAACTACAGAAACGACTTATATGAAACGGTTACCAAAGAAATTACTGCGAGTCATTAAAAGTATCTAAGACCTCAAAAATAAAGTGTTTTCTCAGGTCCAACCAAATTTGGGAGCTGCCGATGGAGTTCTGTACGAGTTTGAGGTGTTAGGAGTACGGAATAGCAAGCTTCGCCCTGTCGCCGCATTCCTATTCCAAGACAGAATCCGAACTGGTGACCAACCGGCAAGTATTTCGAAAAAAATTCCAGAATATTATAGTATTCCATTATAGATAACTCTGAATTTCGATTACCACCTCGGTGAGATGCTCATCTCGCTCAAGGAAGATTAGAAATCACGACAATCTCGCAATCTCAACCCCTATGAAGGTTACTAATCTACCAGCAAACAATTCTTCGCCTCTGATAATCACTGAACGGTCCTCATCATTTTTCTATTTTGTTATATGATCACCAAGAAACTAGGTTCCCATAAGCTTGTTTTTGAAATTCACCCATTTACTCAAAATTCTAGCACCGCCCATTTCTCTATATGGTTTTTCCTCCGATATGCACGATTGATACATAACATTTATTGCGGTTATTTTCAAATTGCCCATTTTTCTTCCATATGAAATAAACATCTTTTATCCGTGCTAGAAAAAAGTTTATTCAAAATTCTTCTCTTCCAATTCCTTCTTGAAGACTTTTTTCTCTTTTCTAGCTTGATCTCTTTTCTTATTCGCCTTCACTTCTTTTGCTTGTTGCAGTCTCTGAAATTTTTCTCCTTTTTTGAACTGATTTCCCGAGTCAAACTCACTTTTAGTTGCTCCTCGTAACAATTGTCTCCATTTATTTGTCTGTCTAACACAACTTTCATTCTCTCAAATGCAATTTCGATGTTCTTTGGCAAAAGGCGGGACTCGTGAACCTAGAAAGATGATGATGCAATGGAATTATTTATGTCAATTCCCGTACCTTCACAACGGTACCAGTAGGACGATGTGTCAATTGTACCGCATTCTGAGCAGTATTAACTTTTTGACCGCCAGGACCCCACCCAGAAATGTACTTCTGTTCACAGTCGTCTTTCTTCACTTCTGGAAATTTGTAGCCTTTCAACTTCTGCCTCGGCGTTGCGAAAGTTCTTCGAAACATTGCCCATTTGAGAATCATTTTTCTGAAAAATAGGTTATCAAAAATTCAATTTGACGATTTTCAAAACTCGAGGTTTTATGAAGAAAAAACAATAAAGCAACAATCGAAAGTAATGCAATTAAGAATTAAAACTGAATTTGAAAGTGATGAAAGCAAGACTAGGTGAATATCGGCAATAAATAATTTAAAGAGTTTAAACACAACTGAAGAGTAATGAACATTAAATTAACCTACAAGTAAGATTTAATTAAATAAATTAAACAAATTGAGAAGGCAGCACCCGTATTTTGAAGAAAATGAATCATTATGCATGAAAAGTGGGTATAAAAATAATACACTGAACATATGAAAGAAAGGAAAGAAAGTGTGTATTTACAAAAAAAATGGTATAAAGGAATTATGAAAAATCAATAAATTTAGGTTTTAGGAAGACTGTTGTAGCCGTAAGAAGCATTTTCGACACACCCGTACTGGCCGAGAAATATTCATTCGAGTAATGTGAGACTCGAATCGAGAGCATCTGGAAGAAATACACTTATTATGCTTATAAAAAATCGGAGCAGTGGAACATTTTTCGAAAAAATCGGAGCAGTGGAAGATTTTTCGGTTACGATATTTGTCGTTTTGGGACCTTAGGCCACAGAGCTCAAAATTTTTGTACCAGATTAATAGTTTTGGTTCTCATATGAGAAATTTCTTACGTTGAACAAAATATTTGACCACAATTCCGGCAATGATGCTTCCGATCGGCTAAAGTGAATTTGTGTTCACAGTCATCACATCGCTGCCTCATAACATCTTGAACCCAATGATCAGCTCTTCCTCCACCTTCGCCTCCTTGCCAGCACCAAACACGGCCTATTCCATCACCAACATAAAGTGAACGATGATCTCTACTGGGAGCGATTGCTGTGATGGGAGCTGGATGAACATTGTCAGGACGATTGAACGCAGTGTGCATTGTTAAGGCTGTTCTTTGAACGAGAACTCGTACAAACTGTGATCCTCCATCTTCACTTTTTGTTGCCTTGTTCCCAGAAGAAGGACTCGCCGGGCCTGATGACGTCACCGAGACGGATCCTGATCCAGAAATACTTGAGGATGTTGCAGTAGTTGAACTATTCTTCAGTCGTTTTCGCTGTTTTTCTAGACGTGCTGCAATTATAGCACTTCCTGATGATCGGTCTTCCATATTCATAATCATGTTTGTGCTTTCCAAAACCGGGTTTTCACTGACGCTCCCATCATTTTCAAAAACAACACAAGAATAGATCTTGACTATTCCATCGGATGTTCCACACATTATAACATTATCATTGTCCCATTCGTTCATCTGAAAATCAATCTTATCTTACTATTAGTTCTTGACTAGAGTCTTACCGTTGAGAATGCAAGAGAAATGATCATCTGTTGAGGATCAATAGCCGGCGCCACATCACAAGTATTCAGAACAGCCAGAAGTTCTCCGTTCAATGTCCAAACACGTAAAAGTGTAGAACAAGCAGTTGCAATATCTCCAGTAGCATCGTTGATGGCAACAGCCAAAACAGCATGTGAATGTTTTGGAAGCTGACGGATTAAGAACATTTCAGATAGATGCCAAACTAGAACAGTAAGATCTCGAGAAGCAGAAATTAGAACTGCATGAGATTGACTGGAAACCAAACAAGTGATCGCATCGGAATGTCCGTTCAGCACGGAAAGTTTCTTCATGGACAATGGTTTACTTTTCACTTTCCAGACCCTGAAAATTGCTTGTTTAATGAATGAATATATAAAGATCTGACTTACGTTATACACCCAGAAGTATTTCCACAGAACAACGTCGTTTCATCTCCAGCAGCCGCGCACGTCATCTCATCAACTTCACACATTTCATGAACACAAACTGATTTATCCGTATCAATCTGTCCCATTCTCACACTTCGATCCGGTAATCCCCAAGTAATGTATCGATTCGTTCCAATGAAAACCTTGTTCTGTTCCAATGCCACAACTCCAATCTTGTCATTCTGATGGATTGATCCAACTGCAGATCGTAATTCTTTGAATGGAGATTGTGGAGGTGTCATATTATGAATCGCATGATAGAACAATCTAGATGTTGTGACTCCTGGAGTATTACTGAATCCTTCCAAAATATTGACCTTCTTCTGCGGATGTGGCTTCTTGAATAGTTGAGTTGGAATCTGTCCAAAATTATTCACAAATCCAATCGTCGCATTTCTGGTCAATGGATCGTCAATTCTCTCAAAGTCGACCGATCCTTCATAGAAAAGATGATGGAACAGGTTGTTATTCTGAAATTCAAATCATAATTTTTCATTTTAAATTAAGCCTACGTACCTTAACCGATTCCTCTCCATTTTGCTTGAATCCAAAAATCAGATCAATCCATTCATGAAGATGTGACGAAACGTAATCACTTTCCAAAGCTTGGCGATGTAAACGTACAAATTCTCGTGGATCTCCATGACACCAGGCAGGAAGAAGTACATCATTGACAGCGATTCCATTCTGTTTGACTCCCAAATCAAAACGATTCGAATTTGTGAACATTTCGGGAAGGGTGAAGAATTCTGGGATTAGTTCCTTAACATCCGCCATATTGTTCCGAGAAGCTGATGTCCATGCATCTCCAACACTGTGGAACATTCGATCAGCTAAATCAAAATGACCTCCTTGAAGTGACAAAAACTGTTGAGTGAACGGTTCCAATCGAACCAAATACGAGACAACAATCATTGCAGAAGAGTAATGAGTTCCATACATATACGGAGGAGTCTCTCCAGATGGATCATCCCATTCTCTGAATCTCTTCAAAAACTGTTCCAACCGATCAGGTGATTGTGCTCCCATTGGTTTAGAGAAATCACGGAAAGTTGAGATGTTCGTGAAATCTAGCTGAGGACTTGTGTAATCAGCCAACACCCATGGAAATATCGGATACTGAGACAAGTCATTGTAGCATCTTCCAGCCAAAGTGTTCAAATGCATCAAATATTGGAAGTTGGATATGTTTCCATTTAACCATCTCTGAGTAACAGATTGCTGACCAATCAAAGATGATAGCAGAGATGCACCACGTCCTGTTGTCTCAATGGCAACATTAGATTTCTGTCCGCCCAAAGAATCGGATCCACCAGAAGACAGGTTGATAGCCATCGATGTTAGTCTGTGAATGGGTTGTATTGCTCAAATTCCTTTCTTTTAAACTCACTTATCAAAAACTCGATCTCGAATTTTCTTAGGGAACGCCAATAAGTAGTTTCTTCCATCCGAACTGAATACTTCCAGAGCAATCGGTTGAAGAAGATATCTTCTTTTATGAACTTCCCGTATCATGTTATAACTGAACTTTGAACAAAGTCTTGAGGATTTAGGTGGTTGCGTAGCTCCAGTTGCAGGATATGGGACAATTGGATCGTGCATTTCTTGACTCAAAAAGTCCAAATCACGGATTTCTTTAGTCTTTAGAAGGGTGAACCCATCAACCACATAGAAATGATCTCTTCCAAACAGAAGCAGCCCTTCTGCAGTTTCTAATCCCTGTATCCTAGCACATCTGAACATCGAATGAAGTTGTTCTCCTTGTTCCAATAGTCTGAGAAGTGTCTGATTGTCTGGTCCAGCCTTCTTTTCCTCTTTTCTCTCTTCTTTTTTGTGAGCTGTTCCAGAGTTATTAGAAGCCGAAGCACTTGATTGGTTTGATTGTTGCGGCGAAACACCATTGGCTTCTGAGGGCAGTTTTTCAGAAATGGAAGATGTTGAATCGTCATCATCTTTTCTCTCTAAAGTTTCACATTCCTCTTCATTCAATTCAATACTTGTTCCAGTCGTATTCTGAGAACTTGTGGTTGGCGCCGTTGTGGAGAGCCTTCTGATAAGCGAAGAATTGATTTCTGAAGAAAGTCATTATATGAAAATTCTTTGATAGCTCGAAACTTACGTGATAGATCAGTAAATGAGTAACCCAGTAGATTCGAAGAAGATCCAGATCCATCATCCGGAGATAAAATAGAAACGGATGACGAATCGATAATCCGAGTGTCAAGAGTTCGTCTCCGATGTATCAGACACGCTTCATAGTACAATTTTGAATCGAGGGAAATCGCAACTTTGGCTCTTTGAGCTTTAGCTGTTGGAGCTTCTAAATGAGGACGGAATGGATAGACGTGATAGAAATTTCTATTTGGAATCAACTTTCTCCGCATTCTCGTAGTCGGTCCTTCAGTAAGGTCTAATTTGAACTTTTCTAGTTTTGATGCTCGTTCCGGTCCCCAAATTCCTCGTTCTCGAGTCAATTCAGCTTCCCACTGATGCCAGTCGTGAAGACACCATTTTCGGACATGAGCATGCCATTCCGTGTATCTCGTACTTTGTGCTCTCACCAACTCTTTTATCAGACTGACATGAACTCGAAGCCACATGAATATCACTTGTTTATCAGCTGACGTATTCTTCCAAGCAGCCACTGATCCAGGTCCTGTTGAGGGTAAGGCTGTAGTTGTGCTCATAGATCTCTTGGCCGCAAACCGAGTAATCCCAGATGCAACACGATTGAACTTCTGAAATTGAACACAACAAAAAAACTTCCATGAGTGTTTCGGAACATACCGAACTGATCTGTTGCTGAATGATGTCCTTTGTTGTGTATGAACCACTCTGTGCTGCTGATCCTCCTGTTTGAATAGTTCTGAGTTGTGAATCCACAAACTGTTGCCAGTAGACTCCAGCAGAATGAGACAGAAGAGCTCGAGCCGCATTAATGTCAGTCACTGATTGCTTTTTAAATGTTTCTTCAATCAATCCCTGTTTCGCACATATCACATCAGACCACACCCGACAGGCACACATGGCAACTTGAGCACTGGTACGATCCAAATCAGAAGAGTTGTCCTAAAATGATGAGAATGAGAGAGGAGCCTGTTTTGAAAAGAACTAACCTGGAATAATACATCTGGCGTAACGGAAAGCATAAAAATGAGATGAGTGAGTGATGCGAAGAACCAGGCTTCGTTGGATGCCAAAAACAAATATCGTTTTGATACCAAACTGCTTAGAGCATCCAAAACTGACAACTGAACAGGAACTGAATCTATAGGACGACTCAAAATGAACAGAGTCATTCTCATTATACATCCGGTGATTGGTTCTGCATTCACCGCTTTGTTCACTTTTTTACTCGCAATCACTTGAAGATGATAGAGAGTTGAAAGCATCCGCATTGATTCACTTCCAAACACAAGTCCATTCCAAAATGCGTCGACTGCTCTTGAGGACAGGACAGAAATATTGGAGACAATTTGAACAAGATTTTGAGGTTGAGTGTTGGGAGGAAGGGCAGACGAAGCGAGTAAATCAGTGCTAACGGCGTGTTCCAGAACCGAATGAAGAAGAGAAGTTAGGCAGGCTACTTGAGCTTTTCGGGTGATTCCACTTTCAGATATATTCTGAAATTTAAAAAAAAATCAGAATTTGGGGGTTTTCATTAAAACTAACATCCAGAATCACATCGATAATAGTATCATTTTTGGACGAGTTCAATTGCAAGTTATCACTGAATATCTTTTTGAGCAAGTCCATGACGATTTTCACATTTGGTTGGGTAAGGACTGAAATGTTCAAAATAATATCGGATAATATTTTCATTATAAAACTCACAAGTTTGGAAATACTCGGAATCTGGCGAACCATCTTGACTTCTCCGATTCGCTATTTCTGACTTCACTCCCATTGCATTTGTATCCTCAATCAAAGTAGAAAACAAGGCAAGGACGAATTCATCGGAATGAGCAATGTTGAAGAATGCTGGAGAGTTTTGATACATGAAAGTGATCATCTGAATAACAGTCGATGGATTTGTGATGGTCCATTGTTGATGAATTGTGGATTGGTGATAGATAGAAGTCCGAATCATGGCGAACAATGGAATTAGAGCATCAAAACAGAAGTTAGCAGAGTTGATTGCTTCAAAAACAGAACTAGTGGAACTGAGACCGAAGACATGGGTCCACACAAGTTCCATATTAAACTGGTCACAGAATCTAGAAAAAAATATTTTGTACTTTAAAAGTTTCCAAAAACAATACCTCAAAGCTGGAATAGGCTGTCCAACGAGAATCGAAAGCATTGCATAGTATGGGTATGGTTTATCAGCATGAGCACCCATCAAATGTTCTAAAGCTGCAAATCCTCCACAGTTGGATAGTTCTGGATTGATGTCAATTTTGGATCCAACAGCTCCTCCGTGAGCGGAAACTGAGAAGCCCAAAACTACAGCTGCTCGATTTCTAACAACAGAATCAGCTTCAGACAACCACCCTCCATTCGCTGATCCTTCTTTGAAACGAGCTAGAAGAGAAGGTTGATTCAGAATGAGCAAAAGAATCCGAAGAGCAAGATAGATTGTTCCTGAGTGGACTCCAGGGGACATTAATGCAAAGAGCCAGTCGAATCCAAGAGTTCGGACGATATGTTCACACATTTGTTGTTGAACTTGTGCATTTGAATTTGATAAGAAGTTGGCAATGATATTCAGAAGACGATTTCTGATATAAACATTGTGAAGCGCTTCCGATGGATCTTCTGTCAATTCTAGATACATCTTCTGGATTTCAGCAATGTGGAATGGCAAATGAGAGTCTTCATAACATTCTGCTTCACTCGTTGGAAGTGTTGCTGCGATACATTGACCCACTTTCAGAATACTTCGACTATCACATTGCGGTTGGATAATTGCAGAAATCAGATTAAATACTATTTCATCCGTGTTTTGAATCATCGATGGTTCGTCATGTATGATCAGAAGAAGTCGTGACAGGAGAGAAGATCGTCGAACAACTTGGAGATTGTTCAATTGATGACTGAAAAATAATACTACAGCTTTTCACTTCTTGACTAGAATTCTTACTCTGTAATCAACTCATAAAAGTGCTCCAGAAGCATTTTATGCAGTTCACTCGGTGCTTCTTTCCACACTTTCAGATCACACAATAGATCTTCAAAAGCAGACGGATTAGAAATTGTAGGAGCGTGTTCCCGAGAGGTATCTGCTGTTCCAGTCACATTGAATACCATGTGCATGATATGAGAATTGAGCATGTTTGCTTTGTCTTCCAGGAGAACAGCTAGAATTTGATACGACCTGTTATTGTTCCAAGTGGCGAGTAATCGAGGTTGTGAGCGAATCGCAGATACGAGCGATTTCAGAGACGCGTAAAGTCCTTCAGAATCAACAGCCATTGCAATAAGACCATAAACACTAGCAAATCCTCCAATAGAGTCCAAAAGAGATGGAACAGGGCGAGGAGTGAATGTTCTCATTCCAAGATATCCAACAATTACTCCACCAAATGTTCGACCAGCTCCAGGTGCATGAGAAATTGTGTTGCATAGAACGCGAAGAGGAGTACTGTGATCGTTTGAGGAGATTCCAAGCTGAAAATCAAGAAAATAAAAATTAAGAAAACTTAAAAATAGTTTTTACATGTTGCGACAGAATCTCGGCATCCATTTTCCCATACATTGTTCTAATTTTAGCAAGAGTCAATTCTTGTGTAGCGGCTGCCGAAAGAGAAAACACAATCTGAAAAAAAAACAATTCAATTTTTTTTCAAATTCTAAAGACCAACCTTTTCTTCATGAAACAGTGGAGTTCTCTCGGCACTGGCAGTTTGGAAATTACCAATATAATGTGGCTGAAGTTGAACAATAGCTCGAACTGTTTCAGCTGTCATTGGCTCTTCTGCTAGAAAGATGGAAGCAAGACGGAATCTAAACAAGAATATTGCTCAAAAAGTTTTCTGTTCACTTACTTACCGTAACCTACTAGGCCTTCTGAGTGCCGGTAAAGTACCAACAGCTGCGTTTACTGAATAGGTTTGTGCCAACTGAGTAGCTGCTCCGCCCGCATTTTGTGCGACATACATCAATTTCTGAGTGGAAATGTGACGTCCATTCAGGTATACAGAAACCTAAAATGAGCAAAATATGTAGCTCGCAAATTCTCGACGTAGGATGCTCTAATATTTTGCATTCAGAATAGGAATAGGAGGGACGCTAGAGGAGAAATCAGTAGGATTAGGAGAAGGGGAACATAACCCAGAGAGAAACTACATTATTTCTGAAACCTACACGCCTGTGTGTGTTTTCAGGCACTGTTTTTGGAGTCATTGTGAAGATCTGTAGTCTTTCTTACGATTAGAAAATGGGCAGCAATTGAAAATGAATGTGCTTCATTCATAAGAATGCAATTACTTACTTGAGAAGACTTTAGAACCGATCGATTGAAAACTACTGCCAAATGAAACCATTCTCCACACCGAACTTGATCAGCCAGTGTTATTCGAATCAACTGGAAAGTAATAGATCTGATTGAAAAATATCCTATTTTCGCTTACTTTATCTGTTTGGAAATTTGCAATCTTCTCCAAATCAGCTCCTGGTTGATCACTCTCTTCAGTTGAAATCAATAAACTTCTATCAATTGCCGAGAACTGGCATTGGAAACATGCCAAATGAGTTGGTTGGGGAGCTTTCTTTGAGGATAACTCTGCTGCCGGAGCAACGGCTCGGGTTATTGTTATGAGACGAATCGGATGGGCATCTGCTTTTTTGTCAGACAAAGAATCCAGATAGATCCATGTGCAGAATGAGAAACCGTTGAGTGGTGGGAAGATACGTTCGGTTTTTGTTGTTGAGAACATTGGAGCTAGCGATGGAAGATAAAGAGCAGCAAATCCTTCAACTGACATATCAAATTCTACGAAACTTGGCGCAGTTCCAACATATTGATCTCTAGGTGTCATCATTGAAACAAGAGCTTTAACCCTTTGAAGTGGCACTGGACCTCCTTCATTGTTGGCAACTTCATTTCCATTCTCATCTTCATCGTCATCATCCAAACTTCTACAACATAATGGACTATCGAGACGGAGAAAACTTCGTAGTTGATTTGGAGTCAACGATTGATAACTGAGTCTTTCCAAGAGATAATAAAATGATTGGAGAAGGACATGATTCTCAATGAGGAATAGTTTTCCAGCTATCCGAAGAAGATGTTTCGGCATATCCACTTGACACATTATCTGTTGATTTCTTTCAGATTTCAAAATTGCTTTCAGCAGAAGAGACACGTAATACTGTGCAGCTACTGTCCATTTAGTGGCTTCTGGTGACGGAGAAGATGTTGAAGAAGGGGAGGAAGAAATGGATGGAAGAAGGCATAACATTGAAATAATAGCTCCAGGATGAACTAAAAGAGAAGACGTCCAAGAGACTATTGACTCTTCCAGTGATGCTCTATCATCATTCCATCGGATGTCTGTTGTCATCTTCTCGTAGTTGTCCAGGGCCATATTGAAAATCAATCGACATACGTAGCAGCCAAAATAAATGGAAAATGGCATTCCTTTCGGAACATTTCCCGCCTCGATACTATCATCCAATCGGAAAACTTCATGACATGCCAAAATTTCAGAAGCAAGATCCGTGTGAGTCAACGTCTTCCATTCAGGTTCTTCAATCGAAATGACGGTAGACTCATTGAAAATGCATGTCAGCCGAAGGAGAGATGTGATACTATCCCATGTGATCTGAAAAATTCAAATCAAAAAAGTTTTCTCTAGCTTCCAAATTCCTACCTCCGTTGAAAAATATTTTGCATTAGATGGTTCAAAACGCATACTCAAAGTAAACACTTTGAAAATGATATGAACAAATTCTAGCATTTGACAATGTTCCATTGGGATTCTACCATCATCCCTTTGTTGAACATCTGCGAATCTCTTCTCTAGACCCAGTAAAAGTGCAGAGAGAGCCAAGAATCCTCCAGACTTTCGGAATTGTATTCGAACTTTGTGAGACTCACGAACAACACCAAGCAGTGCCTGAATGTTGAGGATAAAAATAGAAAAATTAGTTGAACCATACCTTGAGAAGACTAAACATCACTTCCAAGTTTTCTATTGGGATCCGATCTTGAAGAGTCTAAAATGTAAATTAATTACTTAAATTGCACTGTTAAAATAAATTCAGAACTCACATTAACCAAATGTACAATATATTGGTCAGAAGGAGCTACGATCAGTAGTTGTTTGACTAATTGCAATAAAGAACTTCTCCATTCCTCGTTGACTTCTGAAATAGAACGTTTGGAGGAATTACCTTTAATAGAAAACCCAAATTGTCAACTTTGAGCTCAATCATCTCGATTCTTGGTAAAGGTATCAAAAATTGTCACCTGGCTAATTTTCCTCGTACAATCACCAATATGTCATCAGTTGACAAAATTTTGATATCTTTCACAGGAATCTAGATAATTGAGCTCAAACTTGACGGTGTTTGGACCCGTCCATCACAGGGTTGAAGGTATGCATTTCCTGCCAAAACTCACCACAGACAATCTCCACCAAAAGTTTTGCACCGAAGCATTCTGTGAACAATTTCCCATTTTCCGTATTGTTCTTGATGATGATAGTCAAAAGGTCCGTAGTCAAAAGTGACAATTTCAGTTGATCCTGAGTTCGAGAGTTGGTCGATGTGGCAGTGAATGATGAAGCTTGCCCACTTTTTTCATACATTTCATACATCCGACGAATGATATAACACAGGGCATCCAGCAGTCCAACTTCTCGAAATGCATCCTTCAAAATTCCAAAAATAGAAAACACTTGAAATCGTAAAACTCTTACTTTTATAATTGCATCTACCGTAATCAACTTGAAACACATCTGTACAATAATTGTGCACATTGCAGTTTTTCCAGCCGAAATTTCGGTTTTAAGAAGTACGCAAAGACTGAAAAAAATGAGTTGAATTGGATAATTAAATTAAGAATTCTAACCTTATCAACTCTCGACATGGAATATGATTCAATTGGAACACTGCAAATTCGACCAGTTCCAAAAGTTTCACTCTCACAGAATGTTGTTTTCTTTCCAATTGATCGATGAATATTGATAGAGGATATTCACGATCTAAAATGAAATAGTTAGCAGGATCACATGTATAAATTGAATGAAGAATGTCGATTACTGTACATGATGTTGCTTCGGATGAGCTCTGAAAGTAAGTTATAAATAAATAGAATTGGAAAAACCAGAAACCTCTAAGAAAACATGATAGAGAAGTGCAAATGCATTGAGATTCCGTACGCTAAGTCCATTTCCAGCTGGAATCGGAAGTTGAAAAGATGGAAGTTGAACTAGTCCGGATGTATACTGTAACAGATTCTAGATTATTAGGATAAACTGAAATTCCAACTAACCTGCGGTGTTATTCAAATTTACCACTGTTCACTAACGAGATAGTCATGATTAAAATGTTTCTGACTATTTCGTTGTCTGCTTCATTTCTGAAAATACTTAATCAATTATTATGTACTTTTTCAAATAAGACGAACCGTAATAAGAAATCCTTGATGACCGTATACCCATCAGCTTCGTAGAATTCGTCCAGAAGCTGATCTGTCAGATATGCGGAATTCTGAAATTGAAACTATTTCGTTTTGAAAGATTTGAAGTTTGAACCAACCTTCAAGAAACAAGCTAGACAGATGATTGATTCTGCTGTTTTTTGAGAGTCCGAATGCGATGTTGCAGGAGCTGATGAGAGATTTTTGACGAATATCCGAACGCATTTTTTGACAATTACATACTTGATGACAGCATTTGTGATTGACTGAAGTTACAGAAATCTTATTTTTAATTTTTATAATTACCTTATTTATTACCTTATCAGCTATAACTTCCAAAAGCCTTGAACAAAGTTTTCTCCAACAGTTGTTTGCATCTGCCACTTGTGATGTTGTTCCAACAAATAATAACAGAAGATCATCTTTTCGAACCAATTCTTCACTGACACATCTGATAATTATTTTTTCGGTTAATCCGAATTCTAGATGAAACTGTTTTTTTTGTTCCTTAAATGCTTCAAAATGATTTGGTCGATTGCCATTTTGATTGGAGAGGATGAAATTTTCAGAGCTGTTTTATTATGTTTTTTCGGGAGCTGTAAAAGAAAAATCTGGTGACCGTGGCCGAAGGTCCCACAACGACAATTACCGTGACCTAAAAATACTTTTATTCCCTGAACTAATTTTCCTGCTGAAGGTTCGGAAAATAAAGGTTTTTCAGAATTACGATAGTTTTAATTGTGGCAGCTTCGGCCACGGCCACCAAATTTTCTACCACAGCTCCGATTTTTTCGTACCAAAATAATATCTAATCAGTTAATCTTTTTTTTAATTGAATCACCAACTCACTTGAACTTGCAGAGTCCTTCCATGATTTGAGAAATCATATCGAACAACTTCTCATTATTGATCCTAATACTATCTTCAGATTCTGAGCTACTTTCAGAGTTTTCTGGAGTTACAGTAGCCACATTTGGTAAATCAAAAAACAAGTAAATTGTCTTCACAAGTGTGGATGGAAGTGAAACTTTACATGCCGCATCAATCATCACTTCATCGTCTCTGGAATCATTTTTTAAATTAAAATTTCAAAGACCCAGAACTTACGAAGATAAAAGGAATCGAATCGCATCCAAAATCGAGAATCCTTTGAGATCGGTTCCTGGACGAAGGAACTCTGCAATGCTCTGAGCAGCTTCGATTGTTCCTGTGCTTGCTGCTCTTTGCCGGACTTCTTTAACTAGAACACTGCATAAAAATGTTGCAAAATGGACTACTTCTTTGAATTCTGCTACGAGTTGTTGAGGTGTATACATGGACATGACCTGAAAAATTATTGTCAGAAATTGAAGTTCGAAAACTTTTAAAAAACATTTTCAGCTATTTTAGGCATCCTCTTGTAAACGGGGCCCTGGTGGGCCTTCGCAGGCCCTGCCATAGTTTCTTTTAGAACTAATATTTTTGGACCAACTAAATTAGATATGATAGAACTTGACGAGTACTACAAATTTATGTTATTTGATAAACTGTATCTTGTCTACCGACCAAGCTATAAGACAGGTGAAGCGGGACGGCCCAATGGCGGACAAATGGCAGCGGAAGGTTTGCTAATCGGTAATAAATTGAGCATTTGAGCTAACGGAAAAATTTTTTGACAAAAATTATGAAAAGCTAAAAATAGTAATCAAATTATTGTGAAAAAAAACTATTTTCTTTTTCAGGAAAAATATAAGAAAAATTGGTTTTTTACTACTTTTTTTCAGTTTTCCAAGATCATTTCACCGAAAAACATATATTTTTTTATAAACTTCCGATTACTGATTAAAAAGTTTTTGACAAAAAATTTCGCCCATTCACTGAAAAACCGAAGTTATAGCGAATTTTGAAACTTTCAACCGCCGTTCGTTCGCCTTTGGGCAACCCAGCTTAACCTGTGAAACCATAAAGTGGCTGATCCGAGGAAACTTTGTTCATGGACATGATACAATTTTCCAAATAGTATCATTTTTAGTACTTTTTTAGTTCTATCATATCTAATTCATCTGGTTCAAAAATAACGATTTTTAAAGAAAAAAAATGACAAGGCCCAGTTTTCAAGTATAATTTTATAAACTTAAAAAACTCACCTTGTGAAAAAGAGGTAGTAACCGTGACGGATCATTACTTCGACTGCCTGACACTGGGATTTTCAAGTATTCGGAAAACGTTTTCCGTAAATGGAGTAGCGAAAGAGTTCGCTCATCGCGAGACTCCATTTTTTTAGTATAGCAATTTATCTTTGTTGCTCATCCGTTGAATATCAATATGACTTTGCAATAGTCAGAGATCGGACCCAATAGTTTTTTTTTCTGTAATGAATCGATATTTAAACTGGTATTTAAAGACTAATCCGCGGATAATGAAGTCGGCTAAAAAGTATGTAGATCATGTACATGGAGGGGTCGCGAAAATTATCGACTGGCCTAGGAATACAAACAGCTGAGGCCATAGAGCAAGTGCGCTCTATTGGCAAGGGTTTGAGGAAGAAGAAGAAGGATGGATGGGAAAAAGAGGTTGGGGGAAGGTTTGGGAACCTTCAGAAGAAAAACAGGAGGGTTCATTATCATTATCTGTTTTGGAATCCAAAGTTCATAGCCCCGGGAAAACCATTGATCACATGCTTTGATATTAAATACAGTAACTTTTTCGAATGCTATTTGGAAATTCAGAATAAGTGATGGAATTTAAATATTTTTAAACCAGAAAATTTGCTCGCTAGTTTCCTAATCTACTTTTTTAGTTTCAAGTACTAGATCTAAATTTCTACGGTAAAACCTGTAATAGAAGGGCCTCCCATACTGTGAAGTTTAAGCTCAATTATCTCGGCTCCTATAAGAGATATGAAAAATTTGTCAACTGATAAAATATTGGTGATATTATGATAAACAATTTATCCGTTGACAACTTTTTAATATCTTTTGACAGGAACAAACTGGCTCAAAGTTAAAAGTTAGAAGACCTATTACATATTTTAAGGTAGCTCATAAGTTCTGTTCCCTATACAGGGTGGCTGAAAAGTATTGAGACTTTGTTTAGACTCAATTTCTTGAAAACAGAGAACCTGATGACTATGACTGCTAGTTTTTGCGAATAATGATTATTTTTCTAGTTTACATTTAGAAGGAAAACCTTGAATACCTTTACCTAGTTAGAACATCAAATGTGATGTAGAAATATGAGCGACTCGCCGCACCTTGTTTTTAGTACTTCATGATGTAACCGCAGATTGAACAAAGGTTGAAAGTTCATGCTTTCAATATAGTTGGAAGAACTCTTCTAGATAATGCTCCTAAAATTTTAGATACCTCGATAACCTCTATTTATAGATATGAGTGATATCATGCAACCGACCAAATGACTCAAAAATGGCTCAAATTTTCAATGTTCTAGTTCAAACAGATAGAGTCAACAAAATGTTTTGAAACTTCTCAAATTATCATTTGTGCACATTTGAACAATTTGACAGTGAAAATCTTTCAAGCGATCCGGGTTTTTATCAAGATATGCCCTTTCGAAAAAAGCTCATTTAGTACTGCGCGGCGAGGCAAAAGTTGAGTTTGCGGTAATGCTCCTGCGGCCTACAAAATGACTTCAAATTGAAAATGAAAGTGTTTGAGACAACAATCGAGAGATGCACTATACATTCCATGTCTTTAAAGCTAAATTGGAGTTGACCTTTTGACACAGTAAATGGTCAAAGATGACCAATTTTGTACTGAAAAAGTAGTCAACTTCAATCAAACTGGAATTATGATCTTGTTACCAAAAGTAGATACATTCTAGTCATCAAAAAATCTTTAGAAGTCTTCCAGTTATCCAAAAACATCAATATTTCTAGAAGGAACCGGCTCGCGCCATTCCAGTGACTCCTTGAAAGTAGTCTCAATACTTTTCAGCCACCCCATAGAATATCCCAAAAATGATAGAATAGCAAAGAATGAGAAAGCCAGAGAGAGAAGGAATTCCGTTTCTTTTTTTCTATCTGAATGTCAGTGTGTGTCCTTTTTTCTCCTCTCTTCTACTTGTTTTCCTTCTCTTACTCCGATGGATGCACGCCTTCAAAGCAAGAGGAAGAGAAACAGGAAAACAATTTTTGTCTGTTTTCTCTTATTCCTCTCCGAAGAGCATTCGCTTCTTCTTCTTCTTCTTCTTCTCTGTTCGTTGATTTCCCAGTTCACTACGTTTTCATCATCGTCTTTTTCTTCTTCTTCGATGTCTTCTTCTTCTTCTTTGAAAGAGAGAGAAAAACCCCGAATTGAGGCAATTTTGAGAAAGTATTCATTTCTGTGAGATAGCTAGAGAAAAATAGAATACAATTAATTTTCTTGGTTTGTTGAAAAGAAACACAAAAAAAGAACATTATTCGAGTCATATTTTTCAAAAATCGGAAGGTCCCACAACGAAAACTACAGTATTTAACAAAAAATCTTTTTTAAGTTCAGAAATTTTTCTCGATTTTTGTAAGAACTATTTTCAGATTACGGTAGTTTTCGTTGTGGGACCTTCGGTAACGGCCAACGGCGTTTCACCTCCACAGCTTTTTTGTAGGAGTCTAATTTGTAGGAGGAAGAAGCAATCTGAAAAACTCGGAGACAAAAATCATGAGCCATCCAAGAGGATGCCTGATTCCTATTATCTCGGAACGTGCCTTGTCTTATAAGGCGTTTTTTTTGTGATCCAACAATTATCAAACGAAATATGAAAACCTCATTCAATAGAAAACATATATAATACAACAATCATAATTTCTCCATTCTGGAAACAACTCAAAAAGCAAAAAAAACATCCTAAAATATGTAAAATCACAGATCGAAACAAAAAACGCTTGGCAATAAAAATTTGGGTGAATTAGAAAAAGTAAAAAAATGGTTAAAAACGTTAGTGTTGTCCTCGGGATATATCAGCGAGACGATCGGTTTCCTCAGTGATAAGCTGAGCATTCTCGAGGCTTTCTTTGAGATAAAATGCGTGGAATGGATGTCCGGTTCCCAGGTAGAACTTTGATTGGAATTCCACCCAGTGAAGACGAAGAGCGTGAAGGAATGCGGAAAGACCTTCCATCATGATCAAAATTGAAAGCGATAAAATGGCGAATATGAAGAACGACTGAAATGATAATGTGAAAATTCGTTGTTCAAATTTTGAACTCTTACAATTAAAGCAACCACCGGTTGAAGAAATGAAACGACTCTCTCACTTCCGATATGATCAGCTGCATGCATTCCTTGCATCAGAACCATATGCCACATTACCTCCGACAGCTCTGAAACTTCCATATAAAGAGAACACAATAAATATATGTTACTAACGAGCATGAGCTAGAGAAAGCGCCCAGAGACGAAGATAAGAAGCAGTATGAGAAACACATCCTAACACGAATTCAATGGTGTGAATCGCTTGATGCACAAAAATATCGGTGAGAGAATGATGGATATCGTCTCCGATATCGAGTTCATCAGCCAGCAACAGCTCAGCGTCCTCCTGCACAAATTTCGGTGGTCCTATATCGGTTATTGGACTCGTTGGAGCACTGACTGTTGTTCCGTTTCTTCGGAGACCTTTCACACTTCTCGTTTCTTGAAGACGTCGTCGTTTAGATGTGACGAACCTGACCCAAAGCGGCTTTCCGAGAAGCATTGCTGGCACACAAGCTATGGCGATTGAAATCAAGACAGTTTCCACGAGACGCTGTAATATTGATATATAAGACATTTTTTCAATTTTTGAAAATGTTCTTACCTGATTTGGATACCAATAACCAAGATGGCAGTTTCTGAACACTTCTCCATTCTTATCATAATATCCCTCATTTCTTTTCTTGAACATGAACATATTTATCAAACCAATGAGCAGAGATGGAGCACAGTGGGATCCAGGATATTCGTAGCCAAGAACATTTTCAGCATTCACAGTGAAAAATAACCATTTCACGACTATTTGGATACAGAGATAAATGAAAATGCACGAGAGAAAGATGACTTGAGGTATGAAATTGGCGACGATATCAATATAAGACTTGAAATGACTGTAAAATCAAGAACGTAAAGATACCAATGTGATACTTTTTAACCTACGTATGATTGAGAACTGATAGAAATACTCCGAACGTCATCTGAGTTATACCAATTATAACCGACGCCTTCATTTTCATCGAGTTCAAGAACGATAGTCGATTATCAGCAACATTCCAGATGGGATCCACTCCAAACGGGTATGTATTCTCTTTTTCGAATGCCAATTCTGGAACTAGCTCCAATGCAAATTCGCGTTTTGATTCATTAGAACGTTTCATCCACGAGTCTAACGTCGTCTCACTGAAACTCTTCACTTTATGGGATCCTGTTAAAGTGAGCTCACTTGTACGAATTGGTCCATCCACTTCCAAAAACACTGAATGACTTGGCGAAAGCGTCGTTGTACAGGAATCCAGTATAGATGGAGAATATACCCATCAACATCATGATATAACGACCACCATAGAAGGTGTTGAAAATCTGAAGGATCGTAATATTAGAGGGAGCTAGAATGAGGTAAAATTACCTCATCTCTAATCTTTTTGGCCTCAATGGTTTTTTCGTTCCTTATGAAGAACAGTGCCGTTAGAAGAAGGATCAACCCATGAGCAGCATCTCCAAACATCACAGCAAACAGAAATGGGAACGTTATTATTGTATAGGGAGCTGAAACGATGAAGATTTTGCATACTTGAAAAATCAGAGTTTTTCATATTAAGAATTTTTTAAACGACACTCCTGGTTCACTGGCAGGAATTTCTTTCAAATATTTTTTGACCCCGAAAACTGTTTCCCAAAAGTCAGGTTAAAAAAATTACTGGAAATCCTTTTTGCCCCGTTTCAAGTATGCTTTTTAGGCATAAAGTTAAGAAACAAAAACCCACCTGGATTCACTTCACGATACTGTCCAACACCGTACGAATCTACGATACTTTGGAAGACATTTGTGAATTTGTTGGTTTTATGTAAAGTTGGTGGTGGTGCATTTGTCCAAAGCTCGTTGAGAATTGGCTCAACTTCTGTCCCACTTGCTTTCTATACAACGTACACGATTAATCTGATTAGAAAATTCTCAAAATCTCACAAATCCATCGTGGAGGGCTGTCCTCACGTCTTCTTCAGCAGCAGCAGGAATCCAGCACTCACCCGCCAGAAAACCATTTGTATCGACCTAAAATTAATATATTTTATTTATGAAGTTTGAAATATTGTTAAAGTACCGTGAACATGTTCATAACTGCAAAAACGGACTTCTGAATCTGAATGTTTTTCAGCCAAACCGGGAGTTCGTACGACAAATCTTTGAGGATCTAAAAAAACCATAAAATATTGAAGCATATTTCAAGCCAAGGTTACTGTATAGCGATGAGTTTGAGTTGTATCGATAACCACTGTCAAATCGTTCATCCGACCTTCTGTTTCTGACATTTTCATTTTTCTTTCCTTTGAAGTTTTTGGGCATGGGTACTGAGTTGCGTTAAACCTGAAACAAAAAAAATTGTGGAATGCAAAATTTTCAGAAATAGCCCTACCCATCACACACTTTTTCCACAATCAAACGAAGCGAATCTCCTTTGAAGAAAACGATGAACACACATTTTTGTAGAGGTTCAAGCTGAATTTTCAAAAAGGTTAATAACAAAAACTGAAACCTACAGTAACCGGATCATTCACCACAAACGATGTTTCAGAGGTCCGAACAAAAGCTGTACGACGACAAGCACGCCAAAGAACCCGTTCAAATGACTCCTTTTTATCGAGCGGAAGTACACCAGCGACAAACCTGAAGTTATCAAATTGGTGTATCTTTTCAAGATAGATACTCACCATGCATTTTCATCAGTTCCAATCAAAGGTGTCATTGGCATATCGTTGCTGGGCAAGCCACCGAATCCAAATGATTTCGAAAACAAATCCTGGAATTCTACACATAAGGCTTATATAGTTTCATAAAACTAACCATGTCATCAGTGGTTGCCGATCTTTCGAATCGTGCTTTTGCTTCCTCTTCTTTGTGCTAGAAATAACCAAACCGATTTTTTTTCAAATTAACTGGAATATAATACCTACCACTTGGAAAAAGTCGTCAACAAGTCTCATGACATAAAGAAATTCCTTTGAAAAGTTTAAATTCTTTCGTAGAGCATAATCATTGTTGTTCAAATCCAGAAACTCCTTTTCCAATTGATCCAGTTTATGTTCTAACTGAATCATTTCAGCTTGGGTTGGAGCTGTCAAATCGGAGAAATCGATTGATTTCGGATCGAGACCAGGTTTACATGTGATGACTTGCTTTTCCAAGAAACGAAGCTTCCGTTCCATTTCCTCACATCGACGCATTTGTTTTACAAAACTGCGCGAGTAGAGAGACAACTTTGCATTCAGCTGAAAATCGAGAATATAGATTTTCGAGAAAAAAAAAGAACACTCACATCTATAAACTGTACATTTCCTTGTTTACCAAGTTCTGCTACACATTCAAAAGCGGCTTCTCTCACTAAAATCATCTGGTAAAGCTTCATTGGTTCTGACCGAAACATTGAAGCTTCGTCTGTTTTCTTTTCTGTCATGGTGATTTCCAGACCATTCACAGGATTCTTTCCGGGTGGTGTCATGGTTACTTTTGTGGATTGGTGAAGTATTGGTTCAGAAATTGATGTCGTCGCTGACATATCTCTGAGCCAGATTACGTCGTGAGCCGATTGTGGGGTGGAATCGAAATCGAGATGATCGTGTTCTATGAGTGACTTATCGAAGTTGAGACTGTAAACCAAAAATTTCGTATTTTTCTAGATTAGCGGTAAATAAAACATGTCGCTTGAACATACTTGGAAACTCCTAATCCTCCAGCCAACTCCTGACTATTTACAATTTGATTATCGTCGTTGAATATTTCTGATAAATCAATGTGTTCTCGTCGATCGTCCTGGCCTTGTCGAGCCTCTTCGATGCTGAGATCCTCTTCTTCCGCTGAAGCAAAACCAAAGGCTGGTAACGTTTCCCGAACTCTGGCTGGAAATTAAAAACTTCCGGATTTGTCAAAGTGTCAAGTGTTACCTAAGACTCGCCTAGAAAAGTTAGAAACTTTAGGAAGGACGTCGAAGTTCAGACGATGCCAATTACGGTAGGAATGGCGTGAGAACGGTTCCTAAAACATCAAAACTTTATATTCAAGGATGGAAAATGGAATGACAGAAGGGGGACAGAAAGACCATTCATTGCTATTGTAAACCTTTTATTGGCACAGCGATGGTAGTGTTTTTTTATTCAGAACTGTTATAGAAAAAAAGGAAGAAAGGAGAAGCAGCAGTGTTTGATTTTCAGACTTCAAACCCATCATGAACAGCTTCTGAGCAGTGAAAACCATCAGAAAAGCGAAAATTCGAAAAGAAGTGACCGAAAAGCAAAATTGTGTTTATCATACATCATGCGACAGATTCTTTTCAATGGTCGATGTTGATGAAAAATTAGAAATTAGCGTTTCGTGATATCAGGGCTATCAGCAACATCTTCTTGAAAAGTGATAGAGATGGAGAGAAAAAAGCGGACGGATATACACAAATCAGTCATTTTGTGTAATCAATGCAACCTGCGCAGTTCTCGAAAAGAAGTCTAGAGATTGATGACAGTTGAAAGACGCAGTCAATGGGAACCGAAAGGAAACTACACTGATTGCCATCGAATCTTTCCTTTTCTGTCATGTATCATTTTCTTTTTTACCCGCCAACAACCTCCTCTGGGATTCAGGTAGTTTATCATGGGCGGAACATGCAAGGAAGGAAGGGTCGATTGAGATACTACTTGACTAGTGACACTTCTATGATTTATAATGAGTGGCTCACCAGTTGTATTAGAAAACAACGATCAACACAAGGACATGGTGTATTTCTGTTTTTTTTTAATTTGGAAAAAATGGGAAATTTTTAGGTTCAGCTTCAGCTATTCTTATAATGAGATTTTTCTGATAGTACTGTGAACTACATGAATATCTGTCATTGAAAAAATCGAAATTTCTCATCTCACGAACTCCAAAGTACACAGAAATGAATAGATCTCAATGAGAGAAGCAAAATGTTTCAGCCCTCGTCGAAAATAGAATGATATATATCATTTCCGATGTCTTATTGACAAGAAGATAGTTTTGTGTCTTCTTTTGGTTTGAAAAAAAGAGAGAATAGTTGACAAATTAGTCTTAGCTGTTTGTGTTGTGTTTGTGTTGTGTTTGTGTGTGTGTGTTTTTTAGTCGGACTTTTAAATTGCATTAAACTAACCTTGGTATTGAAGAAACGGTATCCTTGCGAATTTTCACTGAAAAAATGCCATAGATTTTCAGATCAGTCTGGCTAAAACTTACGAAACATCGTTGAAATTATCAGACATCTCTATGAATTCTGGAATCGGTTCGAACATTGGCTCCCGAGTGAAGTATGGTAGAATGCTGAAATATAACCTGAAAAGTTGAAAAAACACCGGAAAACTAACCTGTTGGTTCGTTGAATTCGACAAATCACACGAGGAGTCGAAGCAAGTAGTGGAGCTCGCATTTTACTCTTTTTCTGAGAACATCTTCTGAAGAGATTATTGCCTGATATTTTCTTTTTGTTTAGCAAGAACTAACTGTATGTTGCTCCGATGGTCAGGCGACCCATCCGTGAAAGAATCTTCTGCTGAAAACGATTCGCTACTTCTTTGTCTCATAGTGACAATGTCATCATCTCCGTCCGGTGGTACGAAACCCAAGTTAGCGAAAGAACTCATAGAGCTGCAAAACTAAAAATAAAACTATCGACTTTCTTTCACTGTTCAGAGAAAAACGGAGTATTACAGACAATGAAAATGGCAATTTCACTTTTTAAAAAATTATTTTAGTTGAAAAAATGTTTTTAAGCTAAAATTTCACCGGAAAACTCGAAATTCGTCGCATGTCGCAAAAATTTCAATTTCGAGTACCTGCTACCGTACTCTTTGTTTAAAGGCGCAGAGTACAACGAAAACTACAGTAACCTAAAACTTTTATGTTTTCAGGATTTGTTTTCTCGTTTTTTTTGCTGCTTTTCGTCGATTTTTCTGTTGTGTTTTACAAAACAAGTCGAAAAATAAATGTTTTTTTTGCTGGTGAAAAATTAACGGAAAACGTGCGAAAATCGAGAAAATGAATCCGGAAAAATTGTCTTTGGGTTACGGTAGTTGTTGTTGTGGGACCTTCGGCCACAGAAACAGCTATTTATTATTTTTGTACCAGAATAATTTGCAAAATTTATTTACAACATTATTTAATCTTCATAGACGATAGGAACAAAAAATGAAATCAGAATATTTCCTACATGATAAGCCCCTAACAAACTACTTGAAAATTCACAACAAGATAAATAAAGATTCAAGCTTAGAAGATTTTCGGCTCCACAAAAATTGTTGACGAATTCCACAGCATCTTCCAACGAATCTGTACTGTAGAAAGCCTTGAAATGTCTCGTTCTGAAACAAAAATAGTCAAACTCTTTCATAGAATTGAGAAATTTAAGAATTTCAGATTATTAAACTTTCAGTTCAGAACTTTTAAAAAATCCGTATTTCTGATTTTCAGATTTTAGACTTCCGTAATTTCAGAAACTCAGAAGTTCCGAATTTGAAACATTTTTATTTTCATGTTATTAGACTTAAAGAATCAGAGTTTCCTAATTTCAGCATTTCAGATTCTCAGATTTTTAGACGTCCAGAATCAGAACTTCAAAGCTTCAAAATTTTGAAATTTCAGAGTTATACATTTTCACCCAAAAAGATTGTCGTTCTTTTTTAATGTCATAATTAAAAGGATTAAGATCCAGTTGTCAGTCCAAAAGAACATTAATTAAAATCAGATGGAGACCAGAACGAATTTACGATCTAAAGATAAGGGAATTAAACTATTTGACATACAAGGTCAATTTTTTTTTGAAATTGATGACTTCTAAAGTTATCTTACCCGGAGGAACGAAGAAGATCCAAATAAAAGTCCTTTGGAAGGCGTTCTCCGAAAGGAATGTCCAAATGGAGATTGGGAATTCCAAACTTCAAAGTTTGGAATGTTTCTCCAGGAGAGGATGTCCATTTTTGTGGAGTTGTGTTAATGTTCTGAAACATAACTAATATTAATTTTTGAGAATTTATAAGAGAAGTTTAGATTGCAAATTTTTTAATCGACTGATTACATACTAGGGAATATTTAAAACACAGTAAACACTCTAATAGATACCGTATTTTCTCTAATAGAAGCCCACCTCTATTTGAAGCCCACCTCTAATAGAAGCCCACCCTCTGACGTGCTTAAAAACGTAGAAACGCATCCTCTAACAGAAGTGTGGGCAGTTCAGTTAGTGCAGTTTGAACAGTTCAGTTCGTCTATTCGGTTATTGCATACATTTTCTTCCTATTTAAAAAAATTCTGGTAATTTCAGTTTTTGATAATTTCCTAAAAAGGATAGTTGAAAAATAGAAGTCCATGGGCTTCAATTAGAGGAAATACGGTATATGGGTTCAATTTGACAATTTAGGTGGCCTTCTATTAGAATGGTCACGGTATATCCTTTGATCTCAATTAATAGAATACCTCGAGTTGATTGCAGCAATATCTTTCCAATATTCAATTAAAACGTTTCCTTTCGAAACTCTTTCAACATTGTCAAACAACGATCTTTGTAGAGTGCAGTTCGGTGGGAAGTCGATGAAGGTCAGTGTCTTGAAATCGAGATCAAATCTGGCCAGCCATCTGTAATCAAAGATTCCGGATAAGAAAATCAATATAAGAAGGATACAGACAGAAAAACAAAACAAAAAGAAATTTGTTTCATACTTATAGAATGCCACCCAACCGTCAACTTTGAGCCAATTTATATTGGTTCCTGTTAAAGATATGAAAAAAAAACAGTCAACTGATAAATTATTTATCATAATATCACAAACATTTGATCAGTTGACACATTTTTGAAATCTCTTATTGAAGCCGAGAAAATTGAGCTCAATCTTGACAAGGTGGTGCCGTTATATCACAGGTTTGCGGTGCAAAAGATACCCACGAAGACCCAGTTTCATAACTATTTAGTCAAAAACTTACTCCAAAAATTAAATCACATCAAAAATATTAAACTTCTGATCATTGATATCGAGCTCTAGATCATTCAAAAACTTGAATTTGAGATTCTCAAAATGACTTTGAATCCGTTGATGACAAGACGATTGAATCAATTCTGCCATAACCTAAATGGAGAATCTTTGAATAATACAACATTCGACTAATTTTTAATGAAAACATACAGAAAAGTCTATAATTTCAGCAATGGTCATCATAGATTGTACTGTAATGGTCAATTGGTTCATCATTTGTCTCCATGTGGCTCCTTCTGTCATTTTCTTCGTCTTCTTCGTCTTTCTCAATTGGTTTCCGGTTGTTGTCTTCTTCATTGCCATTTTTGAAAGTAGCAGGAACTTTTTCGGAATCAGTCACCGCGAAAATCGGAATGCGAATGTGTTGGACTTTGTATCACTTCGCTTCCTTCACACATAAAAAAAACGCACGGCGGTATCATTATCAACCTAGATGATCTGACACTTGTTGAAACGACAAAAAAAAGAAAAGGGTAACAGAACAGAAAGTGTAGATAAGCGAACAACTGTCCATCTGAATATATTGCATTCCTTGATATTTCATTTCGTTCATTTTCAATTCTTTTGTCATTCTAATTGATTTAGAATTAAACTGCTTAGAATTAATTTTACATAGGAATTTTCAAAGTTTTCTGGATGTTTTCTTTCTGCTCATTTTTGAATTTTTTGGAATTTCTTTGGATTTAAATTTTTCAATGTTTTTTTCCAAAACAAATAAATTACATGTTGAGCTTTTAAGCAGTTTTTAGATGTTTTCTGTTTTCTTAATTTCGGAAGCATCGAAAAATTTTAATTTTTTAGAACTTCACATTTTTTTAAACTTTGAAATTGTTTCGAATTTTCTTCTGACTTTTGGATTTTTTGGAAATTCAGGAATTTTTTTGAATTTTATAATGTTTTGGTTTTTTTTTTGAATATCCAGACATTTTAGAAATTTTAGATATTTGGATTTTCTGAATTTCTGGAAATTTCGAAGTTTTTCTAAATTTGAAAAAAATCTGAATTTTCAAATCTGTTGGAATTTTGGAAGTTTTTCGATTTTTTTTTTCTGAATTGCCAGAAGTTTTGGAGTTTCGAATCTTGAAAAAAGTTCTGGATTTTTTCATTTTTCTAAATTTTATGAATTTTTTGTAATGTTTGAAAAAATTAATTTTCAAACTTTATGTTTTTGCTCTCTGTGATGTTGGTTTGTAGAAGGAATAGAATATTTAAATTTTTATAAGTGAATTAAATGGCAAAAATAAATAAAACAGTAAATAAATTATGAGTTTCGGATTAGATTTGAAAATTTGAAATTCTATAAAGTGTTCAATAAATGTTCCATAATTACATACATATATTTATATATAGTTAAATACATTGTTTTATGCTGCTCCTACTTCCATTGGTGTTGGGCTGACCGCAGAAGACGCTTCTTTGTCATCACTGTATGGAGGTGGTCGGGGTGGTTTGACAACAATCGGAATAGGAATGCGGAATTGGGGAAGAGGTTCTACTACTTGTCGGAGCATTGCGAATAGAATAAGGTCCACATTGTAGATAGCTGAAAAACAATATTGTAATCTCTGAATAACACAGATAAAACAACTTACGCAAGTTGGCATTTCCTAAATAACTCAAAAATCGAGCATCATTGTGACAGGAAATAATGATAAACGGATGTTCTATCTCAACACAATGCGCTGAAATCGGTTTCATTTTTATGGAAATTAATAAAAATTAACATAAATACCTAAATATTTTGGATCCGGCCTGTTCAGATGTATCTTTCCACCGCTCAGCTCAATTAATCGAATTAAATCCTTCTGATTTGGCTCTACAAATCGGGTCACATGAAACTCAATGTCTTCGAAAACAGGCTTATGACGAGCTCGTAGAACACTTCTTTTACAATTATATGCGAATTCTTTTTCCAGATCTCTGTCTCGAAGAAAGTATTCCATTGTATCTGAAATTCACAATTTGCATTTCCGAACATTTCCATTTTCTCTCCTTACCCAACCAATTCTTATATTTGTAACTGTCGACTATCCATTCAGGAACAACAATATTTTTTCCTCTTATAATCGATTCCAAAAGAGCTAAACTTCTTCGACCAGACATCATTACCACATGAGTAGCATGTTCAATTTTATCGACACATTTTCCACCGAGAAACTTGACTTTCTTTTTCAAAATTTCCAAGTTTTCCTCATCGATTGCATCTCCAAACCATGCAGATACCCGAGGTGACGGTTTGGGAACTAGATGAAGATCCTTGTGAATTGGGTGCTCTTTCAGTTTATCCATGTGATCTTTCCATTCCTGCTCTTTTTTCTCAATACTCGTCACCGAAGCTTCTATTTCTTCGTCTGTTGGAGCAGCTGATTGGGTCCTGTAAAGATAACATCAGTAATATCTTGACTAAACAAAATTAGTAACATACGATACTTTATGAGCAGGGAAGTAATATGGATTGCTCTGTAATTCCTTCCGGTATGCTTGTGCTTTGTCGTAATCCTGATCTCCAATTATACATGGCTGTTTCCAACAACCTGGAAATGAATTTCAATTTTGAATCTTACTATTAGAAAGTCCGGAGCTTACATATCATTGCTGCAAATTCATTACTGGATATTTCAATTTGACTGGGACTTCCATTAACGTTTTGGCACTCCTGTCCGACTTGGTATCGAGGGTTTTCGACGTGCGGAAGTCCACTTGCACAGACGTAAGCGTCGGCCAACCATTGGAAGTTAACCACAGGAACTTTCCATTCTTGAGCTTTTGTTACTTTTTCAGAAGGTCTAAATAATTAGTATTCATTATGTTTGAAACTATGAAACTACTCACGATTTGGCAATTAGTAAATCGTTTTTTCTCGAGAAGAAAGGAGTGATCTTAGCTCCCATCGCTTCAACCATAAATGAAATCGCTCCTCGCTCAGATTCATCATATCCAGATAATGCAAAAAGCTGAAATAAAAAAAAAATAATAGTTTACACAGATTACCAGAATACTACAGTACCTTTCCCAGGTATGGTATGAAAGTGCCATAGAAAGGAGGTGGTAAATGAGCCAATTTCCATGGAATGTCTGCTTTTTCTTTTTCTAATACATCTGCTATCCACTGCATCGATATAATTCGTTTTTTAAGTTCTAGTGATTGCCGGACGTTCGGATTACGGCAGGAATCGATGAGGACATGAGTGACTTGGTGAACTTTTTCTGAGAATTTAGATGGCTCAAACTCGATTTCACCTCCATGGAACTGAAATTTTAAATGATATACTTTATGTGGATTGGATGTTTTCCAACTTGCATACCCTTATCATAAATTCAAGATTCTTCCGATCCAGTTTGTCTTGAAACATCCTATCCGAATCGAAACAGTAAAAATGAAACCCTGCCAGGAAAAGTTCAGGATCCGAATTCATTTGGACCGGGAATGGATCGTGATGCATTTGACCTGGTGGCGGTCCTTGTCGATAAACGAATTGATTGACTGATTGTGGAGGAACAGATGTAGCAGAAAGCGGTGGTTGAGGAGTTCCTTGAGGAGGTGGAAGTTGCTGAGATGGTAGGGTAACCGGACGCATTGGATGTGGAGGCATTTCATCTTAAAGAAGAAGATGAGCAGATGTGAACGTCTCTCTAAGGAACTCACTGTGTATTGCCCTTGGTAATACTGGAGTATGTTGTTGGGATTGCTGTTGGTTTGGAGACATCAGTGAAGGAGATCGGAGATCGTTGCCTGGAGCGGGAGCAAAATGTGGAGACGACGTCGCAGCAGCCTGAGGAGCGAATCTATCTGAAAACCATCAAGTGAAAATAGAAATTTATGTGAAAACAGTACGAGGCGTTCCAGGTGGCACTGGCTGCTGTTGTGGAGAGATGTACTGTTGTCGCATTCCTGGCATTCCTGCTGGAGCTGTCGGGGGTCCCTGACGATACATCTGATGAGCTGGAGATGGAAAAGTAGGGGTTCCAGGAATTCCAGGATATCCTGGAAGCTGGCCAGTGGGTGTCATCTGTTGTGCTGGTGGATACGTAAACTGTGGCTGTGGTGGTGGTTGGGGATTCGTTCCTTGTGGATACTGTGGCCTTTGAGGCGTTCCAGGTGGTCCGGATACTGGTCCTGCGGATCCTGGAGTTGTTCGATTGGCAGTAGGTGTTGGTGGAGGGTATACTGGCGTCATGGGACCCGGCGGTCCTGGCATTCCAGCAGGATAGGCTAAAGAATAGTTGACTGAACGTATGCTTTGAGAAACTAGAGCCCTCTGGCTGACTCGCTAGATTATTCTAAATCCGCTTACCTCCTTGTGGATAAGGCACTCTCTGAGCTGCTGCTCTTTGCTGAGCGGCTTGTCTTGCGTACATTTGTTGTTGCCACTGAGCATTAGGAGGATATCCAGGTGGATATTGGGCCGAATGACCAGGGTGTTGATGCATTCCCATCATTGGATGCTGACGAAACGGGGAGTCGTGCATTTGTTGAGGGTTTGGTTGTCCTACATATTGTTGCTGTTGAGCCTGTTGAGCCTGTTGGGCAGCCTGTTGTTGAGCAGACTGTTGTTGAGCAGCAGCTACTGCCATTGCCTGGGATGAACGTTAAATTTTTCAGACTTCCAAGAAGCAGGGTCGGGGCTTTTTTCAGAGTAATAGACTTGGTTTGGCACTCGGAAAGCCAGGTTTTAAAAGAAGAACATTTCATACGAGTTTCTTTTGTATATTTTTCGAAAAAAAATGAATTCAGTCGCTCTATAAATCACAAGTCTGCAATTAAAAAGAAATGTTTACCTGTGCATGTTGCTGTTGTTGCATCTGTGCAGCTTGATAATCGTACGGGGCTCCTCCAGAGTTTGGAGCGCCTGCACTTTGCGGAGTTCCACAGTTTGATCCGGGTGGGGGACCAGCGCTTTGAGGAGTCATTGGAGCTCCTTGGGATTGAATCGGGCTTTCGCCATGGAAAAACTGCTGTTGTGGAGGACAACCCATCGGATGATTCGGTGTCCCTGTCGAGCTTCGTTGGCTTCCCGGAGTTACGGATCCTATATTTAAATTTGTGTATTTTTGGGATTTATCACGATATTCTTACCTGCTTGAAAAATGTTGGCCGGGCTCATGGTCGGAGTTCGTTGCCAATTTTGTGGCGGAGGCTGTTGTCTCGGTTGTTCTGGCATTACAAATCCAGATGCATGTGGCATTTGCTGCTGTGGCATTTGTTGCTGTGGCATCTCTTGCTTTGGAATCTGATGGATTTGTTCATTTGCTAGTGGATTCTGTATTCTAGACGGATCCAGTAGGCCCAGCGGTGGGGATTCTGGCCGATGTTGCATATCCTCTTCTTTTACCAGCGGATCCGACATTTCTGTCCTGCAATTCATAGTTTAGGTTCCCACGCAGATCGTTATACGGAAATTAGGTATCGAAAAGCGTTCTCTGCTTGTTTTCGTGGAAAGAAAAGAACACAAGACAGATTGACAGAATTTATTCAGACAGTGTAGTCAGACAGTAGTGAGATGTTTTAACAGGTGAAAACCGGTGGTAACCGGCAACGGTGACAATGAAAATGGGAATGAGAAAATGATAAAATTAACACAAAAACAATTTGGAATTATAGTTTCTTGTCGATTTCTGGAATGAGATCCTTCAAGTTCGCCCACTGAGCCTTGCTCAACGAGATTCCTTTGCGACTTGGCTGCATCTTTTGTGTCTCCTAAAATTTGTAACGGTTTTTCATGTAAAACAGATTTGAAACTTACTTTGTCGATGTAGTACTCTCTGATGTTAACGTACTCTTTTCCCTTGAACTTGCTGACAGTTGCATAACGAAGATTTCCGATTTCAAACATCTGCAATGACAATACTGCCGTTTATTAACTGAAAAAAAAAAAAAAAAATCAATAAAACCTCGTTTCCATCAGAGTCCTTCAATCTTCCAGTCGCTTCTTCCTTTTTCGCCTTCTTTTGTTCCGGCTCATCGACAGCCTCGGACTTTCTCTTCTGAAAATAGGAATCATATTGAACTCGAAATAACAGCTAAATAGTCACATTTTTCTTCTCATGTTCCTTCACTTTCTTTGGAAGTTCATCTTCAGAAGACGACGATGACGACATGCTGCAGGATTATCGATTTTTTGTAACAAATATGTATAGGAAAATTTTGTTTAAGAAAAAACGACATAAATCGTTAGTGAAAGAGGTAAAATTAATGGAAAAACTGTTCGGAAAAAGTTTTAAAAATTGCCGCGGACTAACCGTTTGAAAGAAAAACCTCGGCCATCTGCGGTTCACTCTCGGCCACCATCAATTTTTGCGTTTTTTTTGAATTGCCTCGTTTTATAAATCCTTTTCTGTTTCTTTTTTTATCCGCTATTCAGCATATTTTTTTTCTTTTTTCTAGAAGTTTTCAGTATGTCTCATGTTTCTTGTTTTTAGGTAAGATTCATCATCATTTGGAGTAAAATAAAGCAGCAACCTAAGAAAAGTCAGAGGATTCCTAATTTCGACCTCATCGAAACTATTTTTTAAAGTTTGGCTGATCTTCTATAGCATTTTAAAAGTTCAAAAGTTTTAAAGGGATTTCCTGTTATACTGATCCAGATTATTTGATCCAGATTAATAGTCAACATACCATTTTCGTAGTTTTTCTGCTCTTTGTTCTCATGTTTTTCAAAAATCAGAAACGTTCACAGAATTTTCGGTATCATATTCTCATCGTTTCCGTCGATTCTTCTCTTCCTCGTTCTTTCTCTCCCCGAACTTTTTCTTGCAAAATCTTTCCATCCGTCAGTTGAGAGATGACCTTCGATTGGTTTTCGTTTAAACCTTCCACTCGAACTGTGTGTATTATATTTTCCTCAGTTATAACACTACCGTATCTGAACTGAAACCGAGTCTAGCCTTCGTTCAAATCACATAGTTAAATTCACATTTCCCTTGAAAAAAAATTGGTAACGAGTGGAAATGCCGATCAAAAGAGGCAACATGTCAAATTGAATTTAGCTAAGTGCATGTAGAATCTAATTTCCCTTCTTTTCCCCTCGTTTTTCTGTCACAGTTAGTTTCAATCGCCTCTTTTTTTCGCTGTCTCATCATCTTGCTGACCGTTGTGCTCTTTCGCGGAAGCAAGAGCAATATTAATGGGCGCGACTTTCATGAATGATGCCTATGAGGAAAACGTCTCTTTTTACGCATTTCCTATGAGGATACATCTTCTTCCCCTCGAGATATTGCAACACAAAAATGTTCTTTCGCGACATTCATGCTCAAAGTTAGAGCCGCAAAGGCTAGTTAATCTTTGTAGCTAGCTTTCAATGTTGACACAGCAGCCTTTCTCTTCCTTTATTTTTGAAAACCTCAGGATCACACGTTCTCAACATCTGACACATCACCTCACTTTAGAGATTCAGATCTTTGTTTTCCGTTAATACAGAGAACTGGTTTCAATTAGAATTTTCGTTCACTCTTTTCCTCCTCCGTTTTTATGTTCCTTTTCTGGCTCGAACATTCCACATTTTCTCTTTTTCAGAAATTCTCCTTGGGCCCTTCAGAGTAATGGTGTTGCGAGAGCAAGAGCATGAGCCATTTTACATCAAAATCGATGGAAAATGGTGTCAAATCGACGATGCGGTTCTGAGAGCACATCCAGGTGGAAGCGCGATCACTACCTACAAGAATATGGATGTAAGTATTACTCTTCATCATCTAAGTTCTGTTTTCTAATAAATCAAATCTGAATCTTTTCTGTATACGTGCCCCGGAGTCTCTTTCGTGAAATTTCGCTAACTACGGAAACTCGTATTTCGAACAAAGTACATGTAAAACATTCACGTGCAATGCATGTGACCCATTTTTAGACGAACCCAATAATATGTTAAAGCATAATTCAAAAAATTAGGGTTTTTCTCGAAAATACCGCATTCTCGAAAATACTGGAAAAAAGCCCGGCCAGTCGTTTCTCAAGTTAAAGCTCTTAAAAATTATGAACGAAAATTTGAAAGTTGTGTTCAAGTTCTCATTAGTTTTTCAGGCAACTACCGTATTTCATACATTCCACATCGGATCGAAAGAAGCATACAAATGGCTGACAGAATTGAAAAGAGATTGTCCTACACAGGAGCCAAATATTCCAGATTTAAAGGTAACTAATGCATCAAGCGTTGCAAAAATGAATGGGAACCCATTTCCAGGAAGACCTTATAAAAGGAATCGATGACGTCAACATGGGTTCGTTCAATATATCCGATCAACGATCAGCTCAAATCAACAAAAATTTCGATAGTCTACGAATGCGAGTCCGCGCGGAAGGACTTATGAATGGTTCACCATTGTTTTATACTCGAAAAATCCTTGAAACCATATTCACCATTCTTCTCGCATTTTATTTTCAATACAACACCTATTATTTTACTGCTGCTGTTCTCATGGGAATCGCATGGCAACAGTTGGGATGGTTGATCCATGAATTCGCACATCATCAGTTGTTCAAAAACCGTTTTTACAATGATCTGGCCAGCTACTTTGTTGGAAACTTTTTGCAGGTTAGATTGCGAGCCAACAAGGACAAAAATGATGTTTCTATGCTTTCAGGGATTCTCATCCGGTGGTTGGAAAGAACAGCACAACGTTCATCATGCTGCCACAAACGTCGTTGGCCGCGACGGAGATCTCGACCTGGTTCCATTCTATGCCACAGTTGCCGAGCATCTAAACAACTACTCACAAGATTCATGGATCATGATTCTTTTCCGCTGGCAACACGTTCACTGGGCCTTCATGCTGCCGTTCCTTCGTCTCTCGTGGCTCCTCCAATCCATTATTTTTGTCAGCCAGATGCCAACACACTATTACGACTACTACAGAAAAACCGCCATCTACGAACAAGTCGGACTTTCTCTTCACTGGGCCTGGTCATTGGGACAACTCTATTTCCTTCCTGATTGGTCCACCAGGTATTAGCTAACTGCTCAAAAAAATGTTGTTCAATCTATTCCAATTACAGAATCATGTTCTTCTTTGTTTCTCATCTGGTAGGAGGATTTCTGTTGGCTCATGTCGTCACTTTTAACCATTACTCAGTGGAGAAGTTTGCACGTGCGTTCAAGTTTGTAGAATATTTTGAAGACAAACCAATTTTCAGTTTCCTCCAATATTATGTCCAACTATGCGTGTCTTCAAATAATGACTACCAGAAATATGCGTCCTGGGCGATTCATCGACTGGCTCTGGGGTGGACTCAACTATCAGGTAATAAGTTTTTAAAAATTAGTACTCCTTCAACTAGTTATTTTAGGAATTACCAAAATTTACAATATAGTGCCTTCTGCATCTATCATAACCCTCGAGTTTTTACCATGTTCACTTTTCTATGATAGTTCATTGAAGCCTATTTACATCACGGCTCTATACAACACCCTGGTTCATTAAACCTTGATCTGAAACTCCAGCTGCCCTTTTTTGCCTCCAGTCCCGTGATGAGGAGTTCAGAACTATCAGTTTCGTGACATTTTTCATTTTTTGGTGACTGATAACGTACATGGGGTGATATGTAGTCTGTGATTCCGATGATAACGCCAAGACCGACTCTTTCTTTTTGAGAAGCGAATGATAATGATAGATTGATGGGTTTCTAGCGCGTCAACCGGAACACTGGGTTTTTAAGTTCTGCAGAGAAACAACTACGACAGAAAACAGTGGCTGAGAAAAAGTATATCTGGAAAGGGCTTCCATTTACAGATTGAACATCATTTGTTCCCAACAATGCCACGTCACAATCTGAATGCTGTGATGCCCCTCGTCAAGGAGTTCGCCGCTGACAACGGCCTGCCATATATGGTCGACGACTATTTCACTGGATTCTGGCTCGAGATCGAACAGTTCCGTAATATTGCTAATGTGGCAGCGAAGCTGACCAAAAAGATTGCTTAATTTATTTATACTTGCACCCCCCGGTTTCACATTGTTCCATGTTTCTTTTTATGTTCATAATTTTATTGTAACAGTTTGTTTTACACAGGTGGATTCTTTTTCTTGTGATATAAACCTTGCTTTGGTTAGTGAACAATGAAACTTTCAATTTAAATGCTGTACCTTTCCTTATGAAATTTCAGATTTAGAAAGAATCCAGGAATGTTTCGAATAGCCTTTTCGGAATAACGAAAGTTCCGAATTTCAGTTTCGGAATTATTCAACATTCAATTTTTAAAGTTGAAATTCCACTTTCCCATCACAGGAAAAAATTCGGGAATATTCCGAAAGTGGTCGAAATTTTCGGAATTCCGAACCTTGCAAAAACTCCATGGCGTGACTGGGATTTGGAATCTTTCTGGATCCTAAAAGTCTGTGTCTTCCACCACGGTTCAACTGTTCAAGGTGCATTATCAAGTTCAATTACAACACTTGAGTCTCGGAAACTCCATTCGCTCTCATTATCATTTATCAACCGATCGTTTCATTTTTTTTCTGAATTTTTATGGAATTAAATGTGGAACTTTCACCTCTTCTTTTCATTATCTTTGCATTTGGCGCCCTCTCCAGCAGTCTCGGCACAATGATGAGATAGTATTGATTATGAGGAGGGTTGTAGAGAATCGAAAAAAAGAAACGAAACAGATAGAGAGACTCTACTGGCGTATTTCGGTCATTTTCACGACCTCACCAGTTCGGAATGGTCGTCAACAAGGATGCCTCCGGTATTCGAATGAGAGTAAGTACTTTTTTGAATTACAGCTTCTAAATAGGATGGATGTATAAGATTACATATTGGAATACTGTAGTTAGCTCTAGGATCAATGATCCAGGATCCAATAGGAAAAAATATTGGTATCAAAAAGTGGTTGAAGGGGTATTTGACCTAATAGGTTGAAAAGATTCAACAGTATGTTTAGTAGACGGAATAATGGAGAATAGGAACTATTGTAATCACTAACAGATTGCTAACAAAATCGTCAACTTTTCACTCAAATATCTCGATTCCTGTAACAGATATTGAAAAGTTGTTAACTAATGAAACATTGCTGATATTATGATAAACATTTTGTCAGTTGAACACTTTTTTTTAGTCTTCTAGAAAAAACCGTTACTGGTTTAACTAGAAAATGCCTTGTGCCACCCCATGCTCTTTTTTACATCTCCACAGTAACCTGCTCAATAATTCCATATCCCCAGAGTTCCATATTTTTGTGGAACAGTTCTCACACAGTACTTCCAACAGTCTCACCAAAGTACAAACATTTACCAATTGCACTTCTCGTTCCCTCTTCTGTGTCTCGTTCTCCTATCTATCACAATTTCCTTCAAAAATCACACCACTTTTTGCAATTTTCTCTTCCCATTCTCACTCCGTCTCTTCATCTTACACACTATTTCGTCCTATCTCTAGTTTATCGGTCATTTTTCTAACAGCCTCTCGATTATCAGCACTATTTCTTCACAACGAAAAAAGTGTAGATGGAGATAAGGGGCAAAGTGCAATTGCAAACAATCAGATAATAATTGAGAATAGGGACTAGATAAAGTTGGGAAAAAGAGTTTGGAATACCGTAAAACCAGAAAGGTCCCTAACTTTTAACTTTGAGCCATTTTATCTCGGTTCATGTCAAAGATATCAAAATGGTGTCAACTGATAAATTGATCATCAGAATATCTTCAACATTTTAGCAGTGTACAAATCTTTGATATCTCTTATACGGGCCGAGACAATCGACCTAAAACTTGCCAGTGTGGTCTGTTACAGGCCTTACGGTAGATATTGGGTATTTTGTGATCAGATCAAGATAATTTTCTGAATTTCAGATTGGAAACAAATGGGTTTATATGAACGAAGAAGCTGTGAAAAATCATCCAGGAGGAGCGGTAATTGAGCAATACCGGTATGTCCCCATGCATATGCAATGGAACTTTTCGAACTTTAATTTCAGAAATTCCGACGCCACCCACATCTTTCATGCATTCCATGAGGGGTCTTCAAAAGCCTACAAACAAGTAGAACTTCTGAAGAAAAATGGAGAACACGATGAGAGATTGGAAAGAGAGCTTGAAAAAAGATTGGACAAAGGAGATGTGAATGTTTCTGTCTACGACATCACTGTGGAACAGGTAAACTTTAAAAATCTATTTTAGATGAATTAACTATATTTATTCAGGAAAAGAAGATGGTTGAATCTTTCGAAAGACTTCGACAGAGACTTCACGACGATGGATTGATGACTGCCAACGAGACATATTTCATCTTCAAGTCTCTCAGCACACTTTCCATCATGGCTTTCGCTTTCTATCTTCAATACTTGGGATGGTACATGACTTCTGCGTGTGTTCTAGCATTGGCATGGCAGCAATTCGGATGGTTGACTCATGAGTTCTGCCACCAACAGCCAACTAAAAACCGACCACTTAATGATACCGTCTCCCTGTTCTTCGGAAACTTCCTTCAAGGATTTTCCAGAGATTGGTGGAAGGACAAGGTAAGCTTCAGCATTCTATCATAATGCTACAGTATACCAGATCATAATTCCAATTTTTCAGCACAACACTCACCACGCTGCTACAAACGTCATCGACCATGATGGAGATATTGATTTGGCACCTCTGTTTGCCTTCATCCCAGGGGATCTTACCAAATACAAAGCTACCGTTGAGAAAGCCATTCTTCAGGTATACAATCATTTCAATTTTGAAGTTACCACCATTTGATTCCAGATCATTCCATACCAACATCTCTACTTCACTGCTATGCTTCCAATGCTTCGTTTCTCATGGACGTCCCAATCAGTTCAATGGGTCTTCAATGAGAACAATATGGAGTACAAAGTATACAAGAAGAACGCCTTCTGGGAGCAAGCCACTATCATCGGACACTGGGCTTGGGTATTCTATCAGCTCTTCCTTCTTCCATCTTGGCCAATCCGCATTGCCTATTTCTTGATTTCCCAATTGGGAGGAGGTTTCTTGATTGCTCACGTCGTCACTTTCAACCATAACAGTGTTGATAAGTATCCAGCTGATTCCCGAATCCTCAACAACTTTGCTGCTCTCCAAATCCTCACCACCCGTAATATGACTCCTTCTCCCTTCATTGATTGGCTCTGGGGTGGACTCAACTACCAGGTAAACTTTTTTTTCTGATAATACTGATGTCGAAAATTATATTTTCAGATCGAGCATCATCTCTTCCCAACTATGCCAAGATGCAACTTGAACAGATGTATGAAGTATGTCAAGGAGTGGTGCGCTGAGAACAATCTTCCATATCTTGTTGACGACTACTTTGTCGGATATAATCTGAACCTTCAACAATTGAAAAACATGGCCGAGCTAGTCCAGGCCAAAGCTGCCTAAGCTATCCGGGTTTCCCAACCAATTCGGTACCACTTCTTATTCTGATTTCTCCCCATTCTTCCGTTTATTTTGTGATGGAAATAAAACTTGATTTTAAAACCAAAATATTTTATTGTGTTCCCTACAAAACAACATATACATATTCACAGTCAAAGCTGGACTGGCGGATAACTGTTAGATGCCGGCGGCAGTTGGTGGCTTGTCGACGGACCATTCGTTCACTGTGAATAGAATCACAATTTTCTGAACAAAAATCTAAATTTAGAAGCTCTTTTTTCATTTTGATAGTAAAGAACAGCTACAAAGAGCTAAATATAGTGAGTTGCAGGATCTTACTTCCACCCATGTTTAGGGCCATAACCTGAGAGAGAGGTATTGGCTTAATTTTTTGAAAATCGGATTCGAGACAACAAACTAAATCTAGTGGACAATATTTGTAATGAAACCTTGAAAACTACCCGAGTTGTCTGGAAAAGTCTGAAAGTATGCGTTTTGCAACAGTTTGCAAGTTTATACGTCCACTCCATAGATCAGTAGATAACGACCTCCAGTGAAGACGGAGGTGTCCAATTTTAAGTCTTCCTTCTTGGGAACGGGCTTGGAAGAGAGAAAAATGAATTGGAAGATGTAGAAAAAAGGATTTATTGAAAAAAAAATAATTTCATATGTTCCTGAACATATCAACAAAAAAGACGAAAAATGACAAGTTTCAAAAGTGTACTGATTAGCCAGACTTTCGTCTGTTGATCCCTTTCGCCACGTAGAGGCTCATTACATGAAAGGGAAAATGGGTTTTCACCGGGAGAAAACGCCAACACAAAACCCCCGTCTCCGAGGAGACAGTTTTCTAATTTTCAATAGTTCTTTTTCACTGCTAAAAAGCTATACGATCGCTATTTATTGTTTTTCTTCATTTGTTTCTTTTTTCTTTGATTGAGTCTTTTGCAAAAGGGGGACTTTCAGTGAAAATGATTTCACCTAGCCATGAACCACCAAACATGGCGACCCTGAGGGCCTTTTGTAACTTTTTTTCGCATCCGACCAATCGAAAGAAAAAAGCAAATGAAACAATAAACAGCTTACGCAGGGAGCTTCAGGACAGTCAAAAAGTGCTAGTGAAAATTATCAAACTAATTCAAAAAGTAGGATTTCTCAAAGGATTGTTATTTTTTTCAATACGTGGAATTTTTCAACGTGGACAGAGGTAGGGGGCGTGACCTAATATTGATTGATTTAATGATTTATTGCGTAACGTGTGAAAAGTTTTAAAAACTCGAAAATTGAAAGTAGATTTACGTAACCCATTAAAAAAGTGAAAAGCTAAGAACGGACGAGTAAAAACTAGGTTGAATTGCGCCGAAGGCACACCATCTGTTGTTTTATTTATTGGACAATTATCTCGGTTCTTACAGTATCGGACAAAAAGAAATCAACTTTTAGTTTTTCGAGAGTATCTCAAAAACTATGAGAGCTAGGACTCTGAAATTTTGTATGTATGTTTTTGAAAGGCTCAGAAATATTCCAGAAAAATATCAAGTCCGCAGACACCATATCAGACGCGCAATTGCTAAAAAAATCGTATTTTCGAATTTTTCAGTTTTTCAGATTTTCAGAGTTTTCACTTTTTTGTTTTTTTTTTTCAATTTTTCGGTTTGTTTAATGAGTTTTGTTCTTATAGATGGGTAGGAAACATAACAAAAAAACGTCTACTTTGGCGGTCCAAGCGGCCGTTCAGGGCATCCAGATGGGTCTGAAGCGCAAGGATCTGGCTCTTCAATTCAACCTTGCAAAATCATCCATTACTAGGATTTATAAGAGATATCAGGTTAGGGAATCATGTTTATTTATTGTAAAATTCTTGTTTCAGCTGCGACAAGGCGTTGTCATTCGAAAATCTCCGGGAAGACCACGGAAAACCAATCATCTCACCGATCGGAATATAGTGATGACCTCGAGAACGAATCCAAGATTGAGCGCTGGGGAAATTTCAGCGATCGTGGATGGTCCAATGACTCCCGTACCTCACGTCAGAACTATCAGACGTCGACTGGCTCAATCTGGACTGAATGGAAGAAGACCAGCCAAGAAGCCATTCATCAATGCCAAAAACAGAAAAATCCGTGTTGACTGGGCAAAGGCTCATGTTGGTTGGAGACGCGCTGAGTGGAAATCTGTACTCTGGTCTGACGAATCCAAGTACAATTTATTCGGAAGTGATGGTGTCAAGTGGATCAGACGTCCGGTAGGCACCAGGTACTCGCCCCAGTACCAAACGCCAACCATGAAACATGGTGGAGGATCGATCTGTGTTTGGGGATGTTTTTCGGCGTACGGTATGGGACCTCTAGTCCGCATTTCGGGTCTAATGGATAGATTCCAATATGAATCGATCTTGGAGAATCATATGAGACCATTTGATAGAGTAACTTGACCACTTTTAATTTATTGTAAATGAAAAGTGGTCAAGTTTTTTGTAAATGAAAAGTGGTCCAGTTACTCTATCAATGTGCGGAAGGGCCAGTTGATTAACAAAGAACAGCTAGCTCTGGACATCCCGGAACCTAAATTTTACGTGAAAATGGGTATGCTATGTGTTTGATGGTATTTCAAAGGAATGACTGGGAGCTTTCAGATGGAGATATTATTATAATTGCCGTCTTGTATAGTTCCTAATTAGAAAAAACTAAAATTGGCAGTCGAAGCAAAAAAAGGAGAAAAACCCAAAGTTAACATTCAGCGCGACAATGCGAGATCGCCCGTGATTAGAGGAATCCCCCAAAAATTCATGTCGCTTGACTGAATTATTCTTTTGCATTCGTCGTATTCTCTGGACCTTGCCCTTCCAGATAAATGATCTTTTGGAGCTCTTAAACATCATCTTGATAGAAAAAACTTCAATTGAAAAGATGACACCAAAAAGGAGTTGACCCACTTTTTCAATCGCCGCTCTCCTCGTTCTGGTCCCATGGAATTAAGAAATTACCGGAGTGTTGGCAGACAACTATCACTGCTTATGGACGTAACTTTCATTTATCTAGCCCTCTCCCCTTTGAGAAAAATTTGACCAAAAAAGTTGCCAAAAAAGGAAGAAACTTTCTGTTCAACCTAATACATATTTACAATCAATTAGTAGAGATCATATTGTTTCTTAAAGGGGGACCTCCGACCAAATTTTTTTTATTTCAATGGAGTTTTTCTTAGATTTCGGACTTTTTAAAAATTTTCTCCGTAATAACATTAGGAAAGTAAAGAACATCGGAAACATTTTGGTGCAATACAAATTTTTGATCGGATTCCCCCTTTAAAAAACATATTTACAATCAATTATAGATGAATTCGTATTGTTTCTTAAATTAGCAGAAATTCAAACTCTCGTAGGCATCAGCATTGACCCTGACCGAATCTCTTTTGGCTCATTTAATCTGCTCAGTTCATCTGTTCCGACGGAGACTTCCGTAGAATGAGGAACTGCTGGTGATGGACTTCTTGTGTTTAGACCACGTCGATTGGCGAATCTTCTGTATGAATTTGGACGGAGACGTGAAATGAGAGGACGAATAGATCGAGTTCTTTTGAGCAGAGATTCTCCTGACAGGAAACGAGAGACGAAAAGATTCAAACCACTTTGAGATGCTGAAGATTGATTACTTTAAATAAGTACGAGTTTCGAAATTTCACCTTGCATCCTCTCAATTTGAGCATGAAGACTCAAAATTGAGACTAGAATGATAACCAAAATGACGATTGCCACAAAGTTGAACGCAATAAAAAGTCTCGAATTCGTCGAGGTTGTAAAAGTTAATAAGAGAGGAAAGATCAGGTGTCCTGAGCAATGTCCGGAGAGCAAAGTAAATGTGTTATTGGCTGAAATTGAATGGTTTCTGATTAGTTTTTTGCAAAATTTTGCAAAAAAAATCCTACATTTGAGAGACAA